ACGTAGACATGTTAGGCGAGTCATATAACATAGCGTTAAAAAGGTTTTTATCGTTAGAGCGTCGTCTCGGGAAAAATCCCGAGCGATATAGTCAATATAAAGGGTTCATGGAAGAATATGAGCATTTGGGACATATGGAGAAAGTTAATGAGGACAATGACCTATCAGTGAAAACGTATTACATGCCACACTCTTACGTTCTTAATGATAGTAGCCGATCAACTAAATTACGAGTGGTATTTGACGGCTCATGCAAATCAGAATCTGGATTATCGCTAAACGATGTATTGTTAAAAGGTCCTATATTACAAGATGACCTCACATTAATTGTTACGAGATTTCGTACACATAAATATGCATTTTCAGCTGATATTAAAAAAATGTATAGGCAGGTATGGGTTGATAATGCAGATAGAGATTATCAGCGCATATTGTGGCGCGGTGATCCTAATGAGCCTATTAAGAAATATAGATTGTGTACAGTAACCTACGGAACGGTACCTGCAAGTTTCTTATCGGTTGCGTGTCTTCATAAATCGGCGGATGTAAATAAAATACGTCCGGAGATAGCTCAGATAATAAAGCATGATTTTTGTGTTGACGATTGTTTAACGGGCGCCTCAACATTATCGGAGGCTTTAAATTTGCGTAATGAATTAATTAAATGTTTAAGTAACAATGGATTTGAATTAAGCAAGTGGACAGCTAATCATGCCGATTTATTAAAATATATACCAATTCCTAATGAAAATTCACTATACTCGTTAAATATGGAAACTGAAGCAATAAAAACATTAGGTTTGTATTGGGATTCAAACTCGGATAGTTTCATTTATAAAGTGTCTTTACCAATACCTGAACATAAGATAACCAAACGAAGTATTTTATCTAATATAGCACGTCTATTTGACCCGCTCGGATTGCTCGGACCGGTTATCGTGATAGCTAAAATATTAATGCAACAATTATGGAAATTAAAAATAAATTGGGATGATGAATTATCAACAGAAATTCAAGTAAAATGGAAAAAATATTTAAAGGATTTAAATCAATGCAATAATCTAAGTGTCCCGCGCTGGTTGCAGTGTGACGACACAGAAAAAATATATATACACGGATTTGCCGATGCATCGTGCAAAGCGTACGGGGCTTGTTTATATGTAGTATGCACGCGCGCGGACGGTAGTCGCCACTCACAACTAATATGCGCAAAATCAAGAATTGCGCCGATAAGTATAATAACAATACCGCGATTAGAGTTATGCGCTGCCTTACTATTATCAAAATTAATAAAAAAAATAGTTCCAGCGTTACGAATTAATGTTACGAATATTTATTGCTGGAGTGATTCTAAGGTGGTACTAGCGTGGATCGCATCGGATGCAATGCGTTGGAAACCGTTCGTTGCAAATCGTGTGAGTAAGGTTCATAATTTAACATCACAGTATTCATGGTCGTATATTAATACGAAGGAGAACCCGGCTGACATTTTATCCAGGGGATGTGATGTTCAAGATATACAAAAATGTACATTGTGGTGGAACGGACCCGCATGGTTGACGGACGAGCACGCGAGATGTGAAGAACTCTGTCAAGTACACGAAGATGAGGAGACACTATGTGAAGAGCGAAAGCAGTCGAACACAGTAGTAATGGTCGCTGAAGTAAAGGCAAATTATTTTATACAACTGTGTGAAAAATATTCAAAATTAAATCGGTTTCAGCGTGTGTTTGCCTATACATTGAGGTATGTGCATAATATTTCAAGTAAATTAAGAGCAAAAGAAAGATACTCGGGTCCTCTCAGCAATGACGAGATCCAAAAATCGGTAAAAATATTCATTAGGCTCTTACAAAATCAATTTTTTGGGGAAGCGCTTCAAAATAAAAAATTGCAGTCATTAAATCCTTTCTTCGACAACGACAGTATATTGCGTGTGGGTGGCCGACTTGGAAACGCGACAGATTTAACTTATGACCAACGGCATCCAATTATCATACCATATTCGTGTCATTTTGATACACTAATTTTTAGAAACGAGCACGAAATGTCATTACATGCTGGGCCCCAAGCCATGTTGGCAAATGTACGATTAACATATTGGCCGATAAACGGTCGTCGAACCGCTCGAAAAGTCGCCCATAAATGTATTGCGTGTTTTAAAAATAAACCTAATATTGTAGAACCAATTATGGGTGTTCTACCAAAACCAAGAGTGAACCGACCACTAAGATGTTTCGAAACTACGGGTGTTGATTATGCGGGACCAATATTAATGAAGTCGCACGCACGTAGAAACGCACAGCTACAGAAGGCATATATATGCATTTTTTTATGTTTTGCAAGTAAGGCTGTACACATAGAGCTAGTATGTGATCTCAGCACGGATGCCTTTATAGCTGCCTTGCACCGGTTTATATCAAGAAGAGGTAAATGCCATACCATATATTCCGATAATGGTACTAATTTCGTGGGTGCTAACAAAAAGTTAAGTGATTTGTCCACACTTCTTCTTTCCGAACAGCACAAAATTCGCGTTCAAGACACGTTAACACTACACGAAATTACGTGGAAGTTCATACCGCCTCGGTCCCCCCATTTTGGTGGTTTGTGGGAGGCTGCAGTCAAGGCCGTAAAAAAACACTTGAATCGAACGATTGCAAATTCACGGTTAACTTATGACGAACTATATACGGTACTAACACAGATAGAATGTTGCTTAAACTCCCGTCCTTTAATCCCTATATCCGAGGACCCTACGGATTTGAATGTCCTTACTCCCGCCCACTTTCTAATAGGTAGCTCACTACGCGCACTGCCTGAGCCTGACGTGAGAGATATATCTATTAATAGATTGTCTCGATGGCAAAGAGTGCAGCAACTTGTCCAACACGTTTGGGCACGATGGAGCAAGGAGTATTTGGGGCAACTACAGGGACGAAACAAGTGGTCCAAATGCAGAGGACCATCCATTCAACCTGGGACGATGGTGTTAATAAAGGAGAATAACTTACCTCCTTTAAAATGGTTATTAGGCAGAGTCACAAATGTTCACCCAGGACCTGATGGTGTCATAAGGGTAGCTACGGTGCATACGAATTTGGGATCAAAAAAGCGAGCTGTTCGGTTATTATGTCCATTACCCATAGACACATGAATCACACAGGTTACGTGTTAATTAATTCTGTTTATATAATTGTTTACTATCCATATTTACCTCATTAAACGTGTACAACTGTAGCACACTATTTATAAATATTATATAGGTCAGCTAATATCAACTATTAAGTATCCATATTGATGCATAAGCATATATATATATTTATTATTTAATGACCGACCATTGTTATCTTCATTGTAGCGATAGTCAATAATATTGTGTATTATTTTTTGATCTTTGTTCACCTATTTAGTGAACATTAGTTCTACCACCTAATTATTCGATTACATTTATTATTATTATTTTTATTAGTTATTGTAAAATCATATGAAACCTGTTTGTAATAATTTATATTTAATAAGTCATTTATATTGTTTAATTATTCTTTTTTATAATATGTATTATATTTTGAAACCGTGTTTCAAGGTGGGCCCATGTTACGGCGCGAACACCGTAATATACTTATATATAATATCGATGTAATGTTTATATGAAATCGTTATCTGTAAGATTATCATTGTGGGCTTGTGCCGTACTATGTCCTCACGTATTATTTAGTTGCCGTCGGACCAGTCAAGTGGTACGACACACGCAAAACGAAATATACAGTCCACTTATTATATAATAAAAGTTTCTAGTTTTTTTTATTTTGGTTTTGTTCAATAAAAACAATCTATTTAGAAACAAACAATCAATAAACTAGTTATGCGCCCGCCAATAACACTCAATAAATTATTAATTGCAATTCTATCTCAAAATTAATCCCTGAGTCCTGATTTGTGTGATAATATATTTGTACGCTGATCAGAATACAGAATAGGTAATACCTATCTCTGAACATGAAAATCAAAATAATCCATACCATACCTATGCCAAATCCTATTACAAAGCCGGTCTCCTAATTTATAAATGAAATGAACCTTAAGCCCACTTATCACAGTAATCACAATAGTAATTGACAAAGTCTACCCTTCCAAATTAACGAAACATACCACTCAGGTCAAAATGCGTGGGTATTAACGATTGGTGATTTTATCATCATGTTAATCATGTCGTGTTTTATTGTCTATCAAATTTGATTATTAATTGTATCAAATATTATTAATTTAAACAATACAATTTACAAATTGTATTGTTTCTATAGTAAAAATGTTATTCCATTTAGTGTACATTATAGTATATTCAATATATAATAATATATACAAATATGATAATGTGCAAATAATATTATAATTAAACTTGTACGCTACCGTAAAATTGGATCAGTGTTCTATCTGTAAAAAATGAGTGAAGTTAACGGTGACCGGTCAAAATACCTGCAGAAAAATATCTCCGATCAAAATATCTCTGACAATATATATCTCCGGTAAAAAATATATCTGTTACATCAAAATATCTCTGACAAAATGTTTATTTAATTGTAACACTAATAACAATATATTATTATAACACTGCAGTCGTAATTGGACAATATTTTAATAATACTAGAAACTTTTAAATGCTAATAATTCAGTGACTGCGAAGGCCAGGTGTCGATCAGTCGTTTTGCTGGCGGACATCGGTTCATTTTTTGTCTAGTAACCCGGTGACTAAGAAAACGAATACACAATATTATGCCCAATGCTATGAGCATCCAGCGGTGACCTACACTGGGTGAGGGGGGAGGGGTTGGGGCGACCAGTAGTAATGACTACAGGTGGCCGTGGACAAGACTGACTGACTGCAAATACGAACGGTGACGACCGGTGTGTGGTAGCGACTGACCCTTCAGAGACAGCCCGTGCCAAACCAATGGCGACTGACCCGATGGAACAGCGGCGGTGCCTGCAACGGCGGCGGCTACTGAGCCATAATGTACTTGGTGCAGGGTGCCAAAGACCGCCCTGGAACCGAGGGTTTTTCCCACGTTAATGCTGGCGCCGGGTTGGCCGGTTTGCGGGTTGGCGGCGGAGGAGGATAACTAAATTTCGATGCCACTACGCAACACGGCATCGGCGGTGGGCCCCAAACGTCGAACCACGCGGCTCCGACATAGTACCGCGGTAACGGTGGCGGTGGATGGGTGAATTGGTCAGCGATAGCGTAACTCGGCGGGGGTGGTGGAGGCTGCGTGCAGTACAACGCGGGTCCCACATAGAAACGGCCGTTGGCGGCGGTTGAGAACTTTATGACCGGCGGCTGCGGTGGATCGACAGGCGACGTGCAGCTATCGTCACACTGGGTGGTCACGTCCATTGTCACGGGTTGCACGACTCCATTTGTCTTAAACACACAAATAACCACAAAATAATATGCCCATACATTAATATTATATTCAACACACACAAAATGTTTTATCAAAATCGGTCCAGCCGTTTAGGAATGCATTAAGGACAGACAAACATTCATTTGTATACTAATTATTTAAATACACATTAAACATAATATCAATAGTTGTACATGAAAATAAATCAATATGAAATATATTAACTAATTCCATACCTCTATTCATAGGAGAATTTCGACCATCATTGGTAGACGGTAATGGTACATGAAAATTTGTTGATTATTAGAAAATTAAATTGAAAATCTAAAATGTAGCCTAATCGATCGCAAGTAGACATATTAACAAATTTAAATCAGTTTATAAAAGTCTTAACGCGTTATCAGTTGACACAGTCACATACAATAATAATCAGTTACTACGCAAGACCCTATTATGCATACAATTAGAAAATTGCCTATTTCCCTTAAAAAACTATCCGTTTGCAATCCTCATAATTCTGCCTTCGTACGAATAATTTGTTGGCTTATTAGATTATAATTTATAAATACGAAATAAAAAATACACGGATAAGCATAAAAAACTACGATGTTGCATTGATTTTAGTAATCGTGGTTATCTTAACACATTCGTATGATATTTTATTAGGTCGAACGATGTCTACGAAGTTTGAAAAAATAATTTTATATAATAGATCGCTGAAAAAGAAAAGTCTACTGGTAAAAATATTAAAAAGTCAAGTGTCTGCCCAATTTTGAACTTTTCGAATTCGTCAAAAGTATGTTGTAAATTCAAACTTGCCTCATATATGCATTTTGTGTTACCCTTAGATAGAGCAGGAACCAATTCGTATGTTACCTGTAGGCAACCCAGGGACCCACTCTGTAATTTTTGGGAATCAACTCGTAGTCGTGCAAACATCCAGTTGGTAATTAAATTAATATTATAATGCACCTAGACGTCCTAGACATTACATCGTTACGATGAGTAGATAGGATTTGATTCATTTTCTATAATAATATGCATCTTCCCATTCATGTTACAGGGAAATGTTTTTAGAGGGTCCGCCAAACTGAAAAAAAACTTTAGTACCTACGTTAAATTACGTACATCTATTTGGCGAATTTATTTTATTTAACAAAAAAAATGTTATGGCCCCGCCCATAACAACATAAACATAGACAAGGGTTCACAGGGAAAATCTCTTTTTTGTTACTTTCCGCCCCTGGAAATCTTTATGCGCAAGCTTATATGATAATTGATATTTTAATATATTATAATGCTGTATAATTTGTTTCAACTTTAATACCGTATCCGTATAATTCAGCATTGTCGTGCTTTCGTCATTAACTGCAGCCAGATCAATTATTAATACCATCTCATGTATGAACCGTAAGACTCTTCGGAGATTCAACAATAAGCAAATTAAAGACGCACGGACCAGAAATGCGATCATTGTGTTCTGCAACTTTGCGTAAATACAGGGGCGGACTGGCTTCTTTAGAGCGGCCCGGGAATTTTTTTTAAAGTGGCCCAAAAACTATTGTCTAACCTAATTATAACATTTATGTTTAAAATACGACACATTTTTTCCATTGCATATTCAAAATATAAATAATAACAGCAGATATATCATACGTTTTAGGTAATATATATAATTTACTGGCTTAAGGAATTAATAATTTATGAAATGCTTTGCTTTTTTAGGCTAAACGGTCTATAACTGTTTGGTGCTGTATGTAATTTAAAATATTTTTTTCTGTAGCCATTAAGACAAAAGCTTTTAGATTATTCCGTGTCATGCTGTTCCTATAAACGGTTTTCACCCGAAAAGACAATTTCATTCATTTTTATAGTATAAAAAACAATTAAAAATTCAATAAATTAATTCATGTTTATTTTATTATTTAAATATGTTGTTGTTGCATACATATTAATATATTATTAATTATAATTTAGTAAAATAGTTCACGACTCACATTGTATTGCCATTTGCCGCGCAAACCAAATTTTACAAAATTGTCTAAAATAGTTTTATCTACTATATTTATCTTACCTTTTAAAAGGCGATATCGGGATCGTAAATATTCAAAAGGTACGTGCTTCTTTCCAGTAGTCAATGCAAAATATAAATTAACTATTATTAGTAAGTTATTACTTATTACAATATTACAAACGACAGACTCGTGAACGAAATACGAAAACAGTATATTATATTATTTTTAAATAATATTATATTGAATTATCGTATACAAACAAATAGTGATACAAACCCAAATGGTTGCCGGATGCGTTATTGGCTATTATACCTATTTATATAAACTAAAATTATTTTTATAACTGTGTCTTAGAACAACAAAATATAATTTTTGGTATGATTATTATCGTATTATTTATGCTATATTTTATAGATTTTAAATACACCAAACACTGAATACTATATTATTATAATTTAAAAATCATAATAAGTTAGTTATTTGTACAATCAAACTGCCCCGCTCGAGACGGCCTATAATCCCATTATTCGACCGGCCCATCGGGAAATTTCCCGATCTCCCGATCTGCCAGTCCGCCCCTGCGTAAATACACTTTATTAACCGAAATGAAATTGTAGCGAAAATGTTACAAACAATACGAAATAATATGCAAATTAACTGTTAAATCAACACTTACGAAATACGATTATTCAACACAGATAGTTTTTGTGTAGTTGAAATACGTTGTCACCATGTTAACTTACTCAAGCCAGCATAACAAAAATATTTATTTTTCATTTTTAATATTTAAAAAGGTGGGCAAGTGGGTGTCGCTCTGCTGTACAGTAGGTTACAAGTGGGTCACTGTATAATGGATGGTATTAAATTTGAATTCAATGATATAATATCATTGTATAAGAAAAACGATTCTGAGCGGTGATGGTATGTCAGTCTATGTATAAGGCATATTATATACATATCTATGGTATTAAACAAAAAATTGACCTATAATAGGTACCTATAATAAATTCCAAATTAATCATATCACAATATCCATTAGATACTTATAACGCGTTATACATCAACAAAAACCGTGATACTATCATAGATATATAATAGTACACTTTAGAAGTTTCAAGTACCCACGAATAGTATTATTCAATCACAACAAAATAACTAAAATCGTAATTCTTGGTTTAAATATGAAATTTTGTCTAAATTTGAAATTAAAATGTCTGTAAAAAATAAGTGTGTTTATATATTTTTTAGATTTTTTGGTTACAGTATGAATTATTTAAGAGAATCTTTGTTTTAAATTTTCAACTCTTAGTTATAAAAACTGAACATTTTATAATTTTTTAATTCCAACGATTGATAATTTTCGAGATTTTGATAAATTTTGTCAAAATTCCAACTTTAAATGCTTATAAAAAAAAATCGTGCGTATGTATTTTTAATATTTTTCAACTGATATTGTAACAATATATCAGGAGCCTTGTATTAAATTTTTACACTTTTTGGCCCAACAGATAAAACTTTATTGATATTTATAGAAAAAAAACTAAAAAAAATTGAAAGCTGTAAATGTCCATAAACAGCTCAAAAAGAGTCAAAATATTTTCAAAATTGTATGGTGTATATGAAATGCTAATATAAACATTCAGTGAAATTTTCATGTATCTACAGTTATTCGTTTTTGAATTACAACAAAATAAGGAAATCGCTACATGAGAAATCGAGTGAAAATCCAATGTTGTAAAAATTTGAATTTCAAACGCTCATAAAAATTTAATTTGACTGTCCGGTAGAGATTTTTTTATTGATAAAGGTAGATAATCTTATAAGGAATCTTGTGTTTCATTTTCAAATCTTAGATTTAAAAAGAAAAATTTTTACGAATTCTTAACTCAAAATAATTTGCTAATTTTCGTGATTTTTCCATATTTTGTCAATTTTTGAACTTTAAATGCTTATAAAAAAAAATTGTGACTAAGGATTTTTCATATTTTTCATCTGCCTTTGAAACAACATATTAGGAGCCTTCTATTAAATTTTCAAGCTTTCGCAACCAATAAATAAGATTTTATTGATATTTCTAGAAAAAAAACTAAAATAAAATGAAAAATGAAAATGTCCCTAAACAGTTCAAAATAAATCAAAATATTTTGAAAATGTTATCGTGTATAGAAAATGCAAATATAAACAACCAGTGAAAATTTCATGTATCTACGGTCATTTGTTTTAAAGTTACACCAATAACCAAATTCGATTTTTTGGAAAATCGATTTTGCGTAAAAATTCCCGTTTTTCCTTAATTTTTATGTTGTTTTTCCCGGCGCTTGTGAAAACTACTGGAAAATGTTTACTTTTGACCCCCCAAAGTACCAACTAGATTCACTTTCCTATCAGAAAAGGTACTATTGAAGAAAATCGAAGCACTTTTACTGTCCCAAAACGTGATGACAGACACAAAAATATAAATAAAAATATAAATAAAAATATAAAAATATAAAAACATACATCATTGTAAAACCAATACATTCATCGCTCCGCTCAGAATCTAATAAATATTATAAAGTTAATAATTATTTAAGTGAAATTTTCTTTTGGGAGGTGCTGCTCTGCCCTTGAATTATGGGAGTAATCATGTGAAAATATCAGCAACACTGACAAATGTAACGCTTTCAATCAAATGCATTTATAATACATACATTCTAATATTTTAAATATGTAGACATATAGATATGCCTCAACTCGACCGGAATATTTTTAGGGGCATATTAAAATTTAAAATTTGTATGTATTATATTTAATTATAATAATATGTTTGTGAAATCATAAAAATTGTATTTGTCATAATAATGAAATTAAATAAAAATATTTGTGTACCACTACATACATTTTATTAATTAATTTACTAGTTTTGTGCTAACATTTCAATTTTTCAGTAATTTTTTGTTTTTTCCAATAATTTTTTAAAGTACACGGAATTTTTACTTTGACCACACAAAGTAAAACAAGACCTACTTTGCTACCAGAACCTACCCACAAAGTTTAAGGTTGCTTTTTACAGTTCCAAACGATGATAGGCACAAAAAAACTTAAAATCATACATCATTGTTAAACCAATTCAATATCTGAAAAATGGATTCAATTAGTTTTTCAGTGCATTCATTCATCAATATTATATACTAGAATACCACCAATCTAATGTTGATGGATAAAAACCTTTCATTATTGTATTAATTTATCTACAAAAATATTATGTAATACGTACACGGTCAAATGGTTTCAAATAGGGGAAAGACTCCGACTTGTGGCCAGGTGGCCTTTAGAGTTATTAAATTTTATTTTATTTTAGACAATTTAATTATAATAAAAATTCGCTAGCCTAACCCGTGTGAAAAATAATGCACCGGGATGTTTGGACCATATCATTTTCATGGTTCCTTATCCCGGTGAGAGATAATGTGGAATAATTTTAAATTGGTGAATTTTTACATAGTGTTTACAAATATTGTACATGTTTAATTAGGTACAGCAAATTATTGTTTTCAATTTGTGTAGTTAAGCAATATAAACGATGGCCATTTTGAGGCGATTGTGGATGGCTATTATGTTGAGGTAATAATTTGTCTGGTTATTGGATTTGTTTGATTGGCCGTTTACAAGAATCATCTTAAATTTTTCGAATCAGAGGATAGTTCTCATTAGTTAATATATTTGAATCGACCAGCGAACGTTTAAGTTTCTATAACTACATAATAATATTACATCTAACGAATATCTATACACATATTATATTATATGGTATATAAAGGGCGATTTCTTTTTATTGGTGCACTAAATTAATAGGTAGCGTTCATCAACACTTATTATTTCTAAATCGAAAATGTAATAAAAAATGAAGAGTGTTAATTGAAAAAAAAATCACTCGATACATATCATATATTTATAGATATTTGTATCAATACATGTGTAAATGCTACTTTTGTTTTATAAATTATTTTTAACTGTAATATTTTAAAGCAAATACATTCTTTTTTAAATATTGATATGTTATATATCATTTGTAAATTGTTCTGCTATTAAATAGGTATCAGTGCCAAAAAGTTATCAGTGCCAACGCCTGTTCAATATCGAGGCCAAAACTGATAACCTGACGAACTGTTTTCCTCAATTGGTTCCACATCCTTTATTTAAATATTAAATTCAATATACTACTTAAATATAGATACTTTAAATTTACTATTAAATTTATTGTTAAAAATATATTAACAAAACTGAACTAATATTCACATGCGATTTGTAAAGTTAAAATTTTTTTGGGTTTCGGGTAAATCGGAATGTTTGATTCGGGTTTCGGTTAATTCTGGTGCAAAGCCCTGGTTTTGACAATATTGTTACATATTAGGTCGAATATACAATTTTTTTTTCAGATTTCATTGTAATGACTAATGACTCTGTTTCCTTGAAAATATTATCTCTCATAGTAAATTATATTGGACAACGGAATTTGGCATATTATTATGGTAATTCAGAAGAGGTATTTTATAAGGATATAAAAAAAATGCAAATTATTTTTCAGATTTAAAGATGGTACCTATATAATGTGATGTGCGCAGGTAATATAGCGTATCTAGTGAAAATGTAATCATTTGAGATAGTTTTTGTTTAGGTATTATGTTTTGAATACAATTTACTTTAAGAAACTCCACATTTTATAAAATATTAAATGCTCGTTTATTAGTTGTTGTTAATGAAATGGCCAGAATAAACTATTTATTACGATAAATATAAAATATTTATATTTGGGTTGATTTTACCCACAACCCACTTAGACAATTAATAGAACAAAATATAATCAATACAAACGTAATTTACGAATCATATCTCTATGATTAAGAATTGATGATTATATTATAGTAAAGGTCAAGTAACACCGATAAAACAAATTCGACATCACAATAGTATGGTCGCATTTATTCTTTTAGTGAAACAACTGAACCCCTGGTAAATAGCAGGTAACGCGTTAAAAAAATTTGAATTTTTTTGTGGCTAAACATGATAGATACACCAACAAGTAGACATGAAATAGAAAAACCTGCTAATGATGACTCAACTTGGCATAAACCAAATTTGAAAGGAGATTGGTGTAATCTTTTTTTACTGACACTACTTTACACCATGCAGGGCATATCCTTTGGGTTGTCAGTGGGCTTACCAATAATTTTTCAGAGTAAAAATATTGTAACTTATGATGATCAAGTAAGTTTATTATATATTATATACCTATATATCTACCTATATTATTTTAATTTTATAATTGTATAATATTAAATTTAAATAAACATTTGACTTATTATTATTGTATCATGTGTAATTCAAAATAAGTAGGTACAAAACATAAGGTGCGTGATGCTGGCACCCACAAGTTTGAAATTCAACTAAAAAACCACATCAGTAATTGTTATTCAATTTGTAAACACAATTTCAAAATTTGTACAGCCCACCCTCCATCGCTCGTAAAATCCAAAATCGATTTGCCATTTGAATAAAAAAATCATATAAAAGCTCTTTATCTAGATAAAATAAAATTATGTTATATTTATCTTATCTAGATGAATTTTGAATGAATTATCTGTTATCTTATACAGATGATTTTTTGGTTATCTTTTCCCAACACTGCCGATAACGCCTTGCCGTTTTAGCTTTTCTATGTACGAATTTTGGAATTGTGGTCAAACATTTTTACGAATTGTATAATAAATACTAAATGGATTTTTGAGTCGAATTTCAAACTTGCGGGTACCAGACTGCTAGCGTCACGCATCTCAAAATAGGTCCAATCAATATTACTTAGTTATGTTTTGATCAGTATGATAATGCAACACCAACAGGAGTAAAAATACTATTTTAAATGTATGATTTAGAAATATTGTCAAACCATTATTAATATTATGTTTAAGGGCTCAATGAGTTATGTTCTATGGCCGTATGCTATAAGACTATTATGGGCACCGATAGTTGACTCATTCTACGTACGGCGGATTGGCCGACGAAAATCTTGGTTTATACCACTTCAATACTTAATAGGTATGTGTAAATTGTCTACTATATATTTTTAGTACTTAAGTCAAAATTACTTATCATTTAAAATCAATAATAGTATGATACAATTATTTCATTAAATTGTAGGAATTAGTTCAATAAAATATTATTATTGCTTCTACTATTGACCTTTATTTTTTTTAAACAATTTGATGTTATTGATAAAAACATTAAATATCATGGTAAAACAGTTAATTTATTAAATTTGTATACAACCACCTTATGGCTTATGCCTTATACCAGGGACGTAATTAGGGGGTATTAGGGGGATAGATCCCTCCAAAACTGTTTTTTACTGCTAACATTTTGATCAAAGTATTGATAGTGACCATGTTTGCTAAAAACGTATATCTCCCCCAAACCAAATTAATAATTACGCCACTGCCTTACACAATATGTCAATATACTAGCATTCGATACGATATCTGTTCAGTTGTACAGATAATATTATTATCTATGTATTTTGTAATAACATTGTACCTATTCATTTTTATTTTATTACTGTGAATTAACAACAATGACCAACCCGGAACAGGTTCGTTATTACTATATTTCGCTTATAACACTGATGAATGGTTACCTGAGTCAGGAAAACCGAACCTTAAGATGATTGTGTGTTTGTTGTTCGTCATTAACTTGTTGAATACTATGCAAGATATAGCCGTTGATAGTTGGGCATTGACTATGTTGAAAAAGTGAGTGTCATAATAATAATAATAATAATAATAATTTTTTATAAAATACGATGTCAATATAATATCAATATAATACAAATAAACAATAAATACAATTTTATTATAATTATAGTTAGTGATTATGGGTTCCCATCCTATATAGTGCCCCTCTGAGGATTTTGTTTTTATTAATGCAGTATATGCTATACATTTCACTACTACCTATACTGTTAATATAGTAAAATTAAATTGTTAACTACTACAATAAATTGATAGTATGACAAAACATACTATAACATATAACGTGCCACACTAATCACACAACTCTATAGGTCCTAGGAGTTAAACTCAGATAAAAACAAAGTAATATGTTCTTCATATAAATGTAACAAGTTCCGTTGCCTCAGAACTGCCATGTTTGAAATTGAATATCAAAACTATTCAGTATTATGTACTTTATTTTTTAAAATTTTTTACAACGAAAATAAAATTTCGTACACCTCCCCAAATATGAAAAAATCGTGATTTCTCCATGTCCGTGCTGCGGTAATGTTATCCCAGCACTGCCAATGACCAATTATTATCAACCTATAATAAAGGTAGTTATTACATTCAATATAGTATTTTAGTATCGTCTTATAGGGACTAAGGTTAGGTATATCAGTTTAAGTATATTTAAACTCTTAATGATACTTTTTTTTTACCTTTTTTTACCTTTTACCTACAAATACCAAGCCCGGATTAAGACATTTTGAGGCCCAGGGGCCAAAGTTTAAATGAGGCCCCTGTACGAAAAAAAAAAAATGTATATTAATATATAGGTACCTGTTATAATAAATATATATAGGTATTAGGTACATAGCAATAAATCAAGAATTAAGTATCATTTTATTTATAAATTATAATTTACAAGCTTTTTTCCTCGCTAAATAATCATCGATTTTTTTAAAGTGATTTATGAGGTGTTATAGCCTATAATGGACAAATCTGAGGCCCCTAAATAAATGTAGGCCCGGGGCCATGGCCCCCCCTGGACCCCCCCCCCTTAATCCGGGCTTGACAAATACATTTAGTCTAAATGAAAAATAAATTAATTCGAATCTTATGGACCTAATGACATTATTATGTGAATAAAGTTTACTTTTCAAAGGAATATAGTTATAGTTTGTGAATAGTATGTACAAATATAGTAAAATGCATAGTGATACGTTATGCTGGATCTATCTTATAAAATAAGTAATAATAGTTTTTACCATTTTATATACAGTGGATTCCACCTAATGTGGCCACCGGTTGGCAGTTATTATGAGAGCCACGTAGGGTATATGAGAAAATTGGTCTGGTCCCAATTCCAAAGTATATTATATGGCCAACTGCTTAAGGTGGGTAAGTGAGTTTGGTCCCATCGTGTCCACATTAAGCGGAATTCACTGTATATGAATAAAGCATTCAAAAAGTTAAATTGAGGATAGTGTGATACACTGATACCTACTTGTTAAGAATAATATTATGCTGGTATTAATAAAGTTTTGGTGTACAAAATTTAATTTTTGCTGTACATAATTTTACAAATTAAAGTAAATGATGACATGTGTTAAATTTTTATTTGATAATAATTGGTAATTGGCAGTGCTGATAGGTAATACGTTACCGCAGCATGTACTTGCAGAAGTCGAGTTTTCTTGTGTTTGGGGAGGTGTGCACAATTGTAAAATATAGGTATAATTTAATACTGCGTATGAGTTAAATTTTGATATGATAATAATTGATCAATGGCAGTGCCAGGGGGAACGTTACCACATGGGAAAATGGCGTTTTCTCGAGTTTGGAGAGGTGTACAAAATTGTACAGATAAAGTACACAATACTGAATTAATTTGAAATTAATTTTCAAACATGGAATTGCTGAGGTAACGGATCTAATGTAACATATTATATTATATTATATGTGCATAAATAATTATAGGATTTAAACATAATATGGTCAGCTGAAAAAAAGAGTGGTATAATATATTTGTAAGAGCCATGTTTTTATTTTTCAGAAATAATGTGAGTTATGCATCTACTTGCAATTCTATAGGTATCTCCATCGGAACGTTTATTGGTTCCGTTTGCCCGAGTCTTCTTTCATCCGAGCAATTCTGTAACAGATATTTACGACTCACACCCGGTACAGGAGGAATAATCAGTATCAAAAGTACGTCATAAATACTGTCTGAAAGTATTTTTAGAAAAAGTTGTGATTACAAGGGAAGTAATAAAAATGTTAAAATTATAATCTACACTTCTTGAAGGGTAATAATTTCCCCTACCCCCGACTCAATAATACTCTTTTTTCGTTTCCCGCCTCGGACTTTCAAATTGTATTCTCTATGTGCTAACTAGTGTGCAGGTATCACACTGGAGAACCTTTTAAATTACTACTGTGTTTCAAGAACACGTGGTTCTGAAGATCTTATAAGAACTAAAACTGCATTGTAAAATTAATTTTTTATATGATTTGATATTTTGTCAATTTTTTTTTTTTATAGTATGTGATTTACATTCAAATTTTAGTAAGTAACCTAATGGCTAATTCAAAACCAGGAATCACCCAGACTAGTTTACCATTTACTTAAAAATACGTTTTAAACGAAAATGATATGTAGCTTCCCCCCGTGCATACACAGCAGTGCATTTTATTTATAGATATATTTACTAATCTATACTCTTTAAATAAATGCCATTATTATTTTATTAAAACATTTAATAATGAGTTATGACTATGATAGTATTTTTTTGTGATTATTATTAATTAGGTATTATACCTACCTAGTTTCGTAAAATGATGAACATTAGGTATTTGATGAGTCTTCATTGATATATCTTTGTTTTTGCAGATATCATCTTTATTTGGGGCGTCGTGTTTTTATCAATTACAACTTTAGTTACTATCTTTAAAAAAGAAAAGGATACTAGGTTAGATGATGTAAAGAATAATATTTTTCAGAATTATAAGCTCATATGGAGTCTATTAAAGCATTCTAGTATGAGAGTATTTGTAATAGCTCTGCTAACATCGACGGTAAGTACTTATTAAATGTTAAGAATAGTGAAATATTGATATTTTAACTTTTTAATTACCTATTCATGACATTTTGAATTAAGTACTTGAAATATATAGTAGTAGGTACCTATAGATTAAATAACTCAAAATACTGCAAATACTCGCAACATTCATAAAATTTTGATTTACCTGAAATATATTGTAGTTTAGTTTCTAGGAATCTGTGAGCCAGTAACAATATAATTATGTGAGATGTACTCCTCTTACTAAAGATGCTTAAAAAAAAGCTATTTTAGGATTAATATATTGTAGGTAACTAATATATGGCAAAAATATCACATACCTATTGTATTATATTTTTTTTTAAATATTTTAACATATTATATTATTGTTATTTGTTATTACATTTTTAGTAAGTACTTACCATAAAATACTGTGAAAGGATTCGTAGTATAAAGTAAAAGTTTCAAAATTGCATTGTTTGCCGAAAATGATAATATTTTAAATTCTTTTATTAATAATTATAACATACAGGTTATAATACACAAAAGTATAATATTTTGTATAACGCATTACATAGTACATCAACACTGGTACATATTATAATACTGCCTGTAAGGTCGGTCGTTATTTAAATTCACTATCAATTAATTTATGTCCCCGCAGGCACTGGCGAAAATATTAATTTATGATCAACTTTTTTAAATTTAAAAAGTGGTATTAGACCAAAAAGACCAAATAAAACTGAAGGAATTTGGTTTGACCGATTTAAATTTTAATACTGATTTTCATTGATTACGAAGTTTACTAGGCGATTTTGAATATATATTTTTTCAGCTGTGATACCAATGAATAAAAATATGATTTTTTGTAATTATATTATTCATTATGACAGTAATAATAATTTTAATATTAAAAATGTGCCTCTGAGTAAGCTTAGTAAACTGGTTAATCAGTTATAATTCTTTTTCAAAATTAAAATCCTTCAAACCAAATTCCTCCAGTATTGTCTGGCTTTTTATCTATAAAAGTCACTTTTTTTACCGACTGGAGTCCCTGTAAGACCAAAATCAGTTTCATATTAAAAGTACACATTTTATGCAAAAATAATATAACTTACAGTGTACAGACTTATACTTGGTCTTCTTATTGAAGTCAATATATAGTTTCAATATAAACATTAACTGGATCAATATGACTGTCTTAGTGTATGGCGAGCGTAGCCATAACCAAATTTTAATCTTTCTTGATCTATAGTATTTTGAAGTTATGTTTAAGTCAAAGATGTATAATGAAGAAAAATAACTCTCGTTTTAGACATTGTTTCTTACCAAGTATGGTTAAATAAATCGAACATTTTCCAAATATTAAATAATATAATACATATAATTATAATACAAATCGTTTTGTTCAAGAAGTGCCAGTTTTATGTGTTATTTTAACAATATAATATAATATTATTTGATGTTGAATATAAATATATAATATAATAAATTGAATTCGATAATAAAATAGATGTCTTTCTCTTGTTCGAATTATATAGATTGGGTATTCTACAATGGACATGTTGACCAACTTGAAATTAATTGACGCTGGTGTTTCTAAAGATGACATTATGTTAATGAATACTGCCATGTCTGTCCTAAGAATATTCATACCTCTTCCACTAGCCAAGTATACTTCAGGGAGTCCAAAACCTCTCAGTTTGTATCTGAAATGTACGCCAATAAGGTACGAAAAAATGTATTTTAATTTTAATATTTTGTAAAAGTTAAAATTAATACACTCTGTATGAGGCCGAACCGAACTCATTTGTTGATTTCATTTAAAAAGACTATATTTGTTTATGTTTCAGATTACTCTGGAGTGTACCATATGTTCTGTTGATTTATTATACGCCGTTTATAATTAAACATGATGGAGTTGTGAATGTGCCAATATATTATTATTTGATCTTAGGTTTTATATTTACAATAAATGAAGTACGTCTGACATTTTAGAACACATCTACTGATAAGTCTATTGATCATTAGGGGTTACCTACATTTATAAATATAAAATTTTTTTGTTTAAAAAAATATATATTATTTTCACTATCATGCTGTTATAAGATGACTGATAAGTATTGATTTTTGTATTGTAGCTGTTGACTAACATCATGAATATTACACATACTTCTTTTTTCATTAAGATTAGTGATCCTCGATTTGGAGGCACTTACTTAACATTATTGAATACAGCTCGAAGTATATCATGGGTAATACTAAATACTGTTGTTTTAAAAATGGTTGATATTTTAACATTCAATAAGTGTTCAAACGATGACCATGGTAGTTGTTCTACAACCGATTTGCAAAATGTGAGACATTTTGAATTTATCTAATTTGTATTTATTTATGTACGTATTATTAATTGTTTAACTATTGTTATGATTTGCTTAGATTTGTAATACAAAACAGGGCCATAATTGTGTGACAATTTTGGACGGTTACTATATTGAAGCAGCAATTTGTATGGTGATTGGATTTGTCTGGTATGCCATTTTTAAGAGCCATTACAAAATTCTTCAATCAAAAAATCATTCACATTGGATTGTTGATGTGAAAAGACCAACTTCAGTATCACGCAGTCACGTATCATCGGCATAATAACAGTGCCTTTACAAATTTCCTATTACTATAATTATTTTATAGAATGCTAATAATAAATAAATTGTTATTTTAAATGTATTTTGGTGTATATAGTACATTTTGTATAAATTACTTTGTTATTTTTAATTATGATTTAAAATTATTTATTTTTTCGTTGTCAGAATAATTCCAGTGAAAAATATATAATTTGTGGTATTTATAGTACCTATTATAATAACTGCAGTTATATAACAAGTATATATTTTATGGTTTTATTATTATAAAACTTATAACTTAAAACATATGGGTAAAAATATGGGATGAATGTATAAGGTCTTACAATTATGTGTGATTTTTTTTTGGACATCTGTCATCAACCTTTGGAATACCTAATAAGTAATAATAAAATGGTTTCTTAAGCTAAATTAAATAAATTTATAGGCATTCATAAAATTTATAAACAGTCATTTAAAATTTTAAAATTATTTAAGTATTTTTTTTTTAATTGTTGATAAAAATGAGTGGGTTGGTGAAAAGCTTGAAAATTGAATACGAGATCCCGAATAAGTAGTTTTAAAGGTATTTAAAAATATTGAAAATGGGCTTGATTTTTTTAGATTTTGAGCTGAGCGAATAACGTAAGAATGTATTGATTTTACAATGTGTATTTTTTTTTTTTTTTTTTGTGATGTATCTGTCATCACCTTTTGGAACAATAAAAATGCTTCAAATTTCTTCAACAACATCTTTTCTGGTAGGAAAGTGAATCTAGTTGCTACTTTTTTTTTTGGGGGGGGGGGTTTAGATAAAATTCCCTATAGTTTTCCAAATTGTCAGGACAAACAAACAAACAATGAAGGAAAAACTTAGATATTTTTACGCAAACCCGTTTTAAAAAAAAAAAATTATTGATGATTTTTTTTTTAGTATAACTCTAAAACAAATAATATAGTACAGATGAAATTTTTTATAAGCGATTTCCATGCATCATTACAATTTTGAAATATTGTTACTCTTTTTGAGCTATTTTTAGGCATAAGACAATTTCTAGTTTTATTATTTTTTTTTAACTGTTGTCGATACAAAACTTTTTGGTCAGTCAAAAAACTTGAAATGTAGTACAATGCGTTAGTGGGATTTAAAAAAAAGTTGAGCTTAAATTCACAATGATTTTTTATGATTGTCTAAAGTTAAAATGTTGACAAAGTTCATCAAAATTACGAAAACAAGTAAATTATTTCGAGTTTGAAATTCATAAAATTCTTTCTATTTATATCTAAACTTTGAAAAGGTAAAAAAAATTCCCTTAAGTTTTCCTACATTCAAAAAAAAAAATTTAATAGAAGGTCTAATTAATTGTGACGAGCTTTTGAAGCTAGACATTGGATTCATCAGTAAATATCAAACTCTCATACAACGATTTTCTTATTTTTTCGTTATTCAAAATCTAATGACCGGTAGGTATTTGAAATTTTCATCAAATATTTATTTTATAATTTTCTATATTTGATACAATTTTCATAATATTTCCACTCGTTTTTAGTTATATACTTATATAATGTAGACATTTAAAATTTAAATTTTTTTTAGTTTTTATTCTATAAATTTCAATAAAATTGTATTTGTTGGTCAAAGAGCTTGAACTTTAATAAAGGAATTCTTTTAAGTTGTTATAATAGGAGTTGATAAATATTAAAGATCTATAGGCATGATTTTATTATTAGTATTTTAACTTTAAATTTTGACAAAATTTATCAAAATCTTGAAAATTATTAATTACTTTAATTAAAAAATTATAAAATGATCAATTTTTATAGTTAAGGATTGAAAATTTAAAACAAAGGTTCTCATAAATAGCTCATACCGTAACCAAAAAATCTAAAAAATATATAATCATAGTTATTTTTTCAGACATTTTAAATTTAAATTTTGACGAAACTACATAATAAAACCTAGAATAACGATTTTAGTAATTTCGTTGTGATTTAAAAGTTAATATTCGTGGGTATATGAAACTTTCAGAGTACATTTATTATTATATTTTTTCTACAGAACAAAATGTTCAAGTGTAATTTTTTTGGTAAAAATGAATTTAACCTACTGCACTAGTACTGCAGTAGTAGATAGGTACTAATGCCTAATGGTAAAATGAATTAGTTAAATCACAATATTATCATAAAATAATAAAAAAATATACCTACTTAATAATATTATAGGCTGACAGTCCGTCTTCCCTCAGAATCATTTTTCACATATAATTGAATTTAAATTTAACACCACCCATTACAGTAACCCACTAGTAACCTATTGTACAGAAGAACGACATCCTCTTATACCCTCTTTTTTAACTTAAATATGTTTTTGGGCCGGGAACACATATTTTTGTTTTTTAAACCAATTTTGCGTAACTCTTTGTTTTCACCATGTAAACAAATAAAATGTAAAAATTACTTAATTCTCCCAAGGTATATATACGTAAGGTAATTAATGTGGTCACTTATTGTCTATTGATACATATTTATGATTCATACATTTTCTTCTGAGTCGAAAAACGATCACCACTATTTACCTCTTGGCAATGGGTGATTTTCTCTATGTTAATCATAACCGTATTTTATTGTCTATCTAATTTTATTATTGATTGTATTATGTGTACAGATTGTAAATTGTAGGTATTGTTTCTAATAAAAGAAAATAATATTCAATTTCGTTGACATTTTAATTTAAACACTTAAAAAGTTATCACCATATATTTTCGATATCTCCTGTAAGAACAACTTGAGAACGTTATATTACACATTATAATTTTTTTACCTGGTTACAAAAATTATTTCAAATATAAATTCGAAAAAATTAATAAATTAGAACATTTATAGTACATACAAATACCTTAAAAATAGCCTAAATTAACGTCTAGCGGGAGCTGATACGGTATAATCCAAATATTTATTGGGAGGTAAAACTTCTCTAAGCATTATCACCTCACCATGGTAAAGGCGTAGGATAAGCCCCCCCAAAATGTCTGTCGCCCCCAAACATTTCCTACATTTTGTTTTAGACTTAATAAATATTATCAAAGTAGGACTTTAGCCCCCTCTAAACCCAAACGCTATTTGCGGCTATTGGTAAGGGTTTGTCTATAATTGAGCCACGGAAAGTGTTTTGCATTTGCAATATAATACAATATTGTACTTAATAAAATAATGTGTTTTAGTGATAATTCTATGTTATAAATTTTCGAATTTTAAAAAGTTTCATCTTCATCAAGAATATTGTCTTCATCTCGCTTATGAAACGAGACCCTCAAGACAGTATTATGAAGGTCAACTCACATGCAGTTACCAGTTACCACTCTCTACGCAGTTTATTTAAAACCGGATTTTCCGTCCGAATAGTGGTAAAAAAAAAAGCCTTAGGTATAAAGAAGGAATTCGTATTATTTTAATCACTCGTTGTATAATTTTGAACCGTCCAACTACATCAAGTAGGATATTTTATCGCGTGTCGAGAGGGGACTTCATCGAAGCATTCGAAGCATGAGCTTGCACTGATCATGGGATTGTATGCACCTACTCGTCGTCAATCAACGGGAGATAATGACCGAAAATTGTGAATATTGTGAAAATACATTTTAGTTTCGATTTTTAAGTGCCAAGAATTAGTTATTTTTGCAATACGATTTCTCAAGAGTACCTACCCAAGTGATCGAAAAACACTCAAGTATTTATAATCTTATTTCAAAATAGCTTCATAAAGATTTTTATATTGAAAATGTCCATTTTCAATTATTAACCGTTTCAACGATAATATTATAATGCCATATAATAACTTTCATACAAGGCAATTGAAATGTTAATAATAAAAAAAGTACTTTTCTGTGATCAAAAAACTAAACAGTGAGGATTTTCAATGTTGAGTACTTGTGTGACCATAAAGGTACACGGTAAGTACCTATGTAGATGGTAACAAATATAATTTGATTTATATTTTACACTGTATAGGTTTATAATATTTTACGTACTTATTATAGTAAAACCAAAAAAATTACCTATACGGGCTGAGACTATTTTTTTTAAATATTATAATATTGTTTAATACCTATATTATATACAATAATGTTATATTATATTATTATGTTACCTACTGTATATTTTGAGTAATTGAGTTACAACTTACAAAGAAAATCTAAATATTTTATACGATACACTAATCACATGTTTGATAAGATTTTCCAATACGTTCAAAGGATTTTTATAGACTCTTAAGAGTAAATCGATTGGTTTAATGATTAATATGAATAATTTATAATGGTTAAAACGAAATAAAAATGTGAAACCATAAATATAGAAACATAAATAAGTTAAACCTAGTAATAGATTTTATGAAATTGGTTATTACAATTTAACTGCACCAATTGACTATTAAGTAGAAAATACAGATAAAAATATTAAATTATATTAGATAAAAAATTATAGGTACTTATATAAATATTGTGCTAATAAATGTCTTATGGTTATAAATTGATATTGGTCAATTTCGCCAATAGATTTCAAAATATATAGTCATTGAGGTATAGTGTACACCGATATTATATTATGTTTTTACTTTAAAATTAATAAGGTAACCTGTAAAATATAATTTATGGTGACTAGGAGAAACTTAATAAATATTTTTAAATTTGGATTATCTCCAGTTATATCACAAGTATATTGTAATATTCCCGATCATATTTGTTTACAGTTTAAACTACATTAAAAATTGATTTATACTGGTTTTACGGGTTTCAAGTCATTAGCTAATTCTTAATATTATTTCTTATGTAATATATTCAATTATTTTTTTAGATAAAACTAAGTTTGGAATAAATCTTGGTATATCTCTCTAGAAACTTTTCGTAGTTTTGATTTCGTTATACGTATTACCGTCGTGCCTCGTGTGTGTAACATATTAGGTACCTACTTCAAATAGTGAACATTTAAAAAAAATTACCTATAATATAATATATGTATATGATTCAGTTATTTATAACTATTAATTTTCTAATAAATTGCAAATTTTTTTAATAACTTAATTGATTTCTCGATAATCTGGTTATTGTAAACCTGACACCCGTGGATTGTTATAAGTCGGACAATATAATTTAATCTTTTTGAATATCTATGTTGATTATTTTGTAGATTATTCTTTGATATTTTCTTTCTTTACTAAAGGTATTAAGTTATTCTATAGAATCAATTTTCGATCATGAATAAACCATGCACAATTAAATGCGGTCTCGAGGAAGATGTAGCAGCCAACAAATCTACTGTGCCAAACACACCTAATCTGAAAGGAGATTGGTCAAACTTCAACTTGTTGTTATTGCTTTACGTTCTGCAAGGATTTCCAATAGGCTTATCTAGTAGTCTTCCAATCATTTTACAGAGTAGAAAAATGGTGACTTATGAAGAACAGGTAACTTTTCAACTAATAAGTTCATGTGACAAAAACTATTACACTTAAATAAAAAAGTTGCTTACTTATAATAAATTAGAATATTATAGAATATTATAAAAGTGTCATAATATTACGTTTTAATTTATAGGCTTTATTTAGTATTGTGCTTTGGCCTTATACATTGAAAGTTTTATTTGCCCCATTAGTAGACTCATTATACGTACAACGGATTGGAAGAAGAAAATCTTGGTTATTACCTCTTCAATATTTAGTAGGTATGTACCAGCTATATAATGGTATATTACCTATATTTTACTCAAGTTTAAACAGAAATCTAAAAATGTTTTTTCTACTCAATTTTCACCAGATTTCTGTGTACATATCATTAATTATTGTATTTGTAATATTTTACAATTTTGTGCATTTATTTTATTATTATCTTTTATTGAAAGACAATCTGATTATTATAGGGATAATTTTGATGTATACGGCAAACAACATCGATGATTGGTTACCCAAAACAGGGAAACCAAACCTCACGATGATCGTATGTGTGATACTTGCTATCAATGTCCTGTCCGCAATTCAAGATATTGTCGTTGATGGTTGGTCTTTAACTATGTTAAAAAAGTTAGTGGTTTTATTATTTTAAATTGAAAGAATAACAAGGTAAATATTGGTTTTGGGTAATGATAAGTTTTATTAGACTTAGGTATACATTATAATAGTTATGAGTTATAACGTATTTAAAACAATTTAAACTTAAACAACTTAATTTATTCTAATATTTTATTTAGTTTGTATCTGTTTCGTATCCATAAAAATTAATAATTTTTTATTTATGTGATTTTCCACTGTTATTTAAAATGTTATCTTCCTACAGAAATAACGTGGGTTATGCTTCTACTTGCAATGCTACTGGATTACCAATTGGAATGTTAATTGGTACAGTTTGTCCAATTTTGCTGGTATCTGAGGACTTCAACAATAAATATTTTCGAGTTATGCCTACCACGGGTGGTTTAATGACATTGCAAAGTACGTACCTATATATTATATTGAGGCTAAAATGTGTGTATGTTATTGCTTATTACTTATTTGCACTTAACTGTTCTATGTGCCAAATAGAATCTAATTTTATGTAGTCGAAAAGTTTTCGCATAACAAACCAAGTCAATAGAATTTGAATTAATGACAATATCCAACTAATTATCACTCATTGGCCACCAAAAATCAACATGGCCGTCGTTAAATTACTCTGAATCAAAATAAAATTAAAATTAAAAATATATACCTACAATCTAATGTGTATTACTATACATTTTGGAAATATTATAATTATTAAAAATATTAAATATTATTCATATATATTTATTTTTTTGGGGGGTTGAGGCTTCGAGCACTGAGGTCATTAGCCTGTGGAACTGTGGGGGAGGATACTGTAGGTTTTAAACACGTGTGTGTGTGTTTTTAGCAGAATTTTCAATTGGTATTTTCAAATAGATATCTGCCATGCTTGGGTAGTTGGGTGGGGGATGGCAGCCTCTCTCTCCGGACACCATGACTGCCCGAATAAAAATGCCGCCCATGGTCGAGTTCGAACCGGCTTCGGTGTGCGTCGCAACCGACGTCTTAGTCAGCTAGGCCACTCCGTCCCCCATTATTCATATTATGAATGGTATATTTATATTTTTTGTAAAATCTATAATTACATTTCACCATCATTTGATAAGTTTTTTTTTCATAATATTCGGTTGTCATCATGTGTGACATAATCAGATTTACTAAAGTTTATTTAGATTTTAGAAAATGGACCACTTTATTATTATTGTTTATTATAAAAGGTTTGTATGCAGCGTGGGATCAACATTTTTATATTTTGATGGTAGGGCAAAACTGTATTTAAATGAGTGACTAGGAAAACGTTTTTGAGTCTGTGACCATTGTGATAAATCCTAATGAGAAGTATGTTTAAATACTTAATAAAAAACTGTTTTATAATGAACTTATTATCTTACATTATTTATTGATTTCTTTAAATATAATGCTCTATGCACACTAATTATACCTAAACGTAAATACGTGAAATGTATAGTTAACAATATACAAAATGTTGTTTGGTATTTTTTTTCTAGCTTTTATATATTTGTGGAGCATTATATTTTTATTGATAACTACATTAATTGGTATATTTAAAAAAGAGAAAAATGATAAATTAGAATTAGACCACGTAAAGATCAGCGTTTTTCAAAATTATAAACTGTTATGGGACATTTTAAAGAAGCCTAAAATAAAACTATTAGCAATAGCATTGCTGACAGCAAGGGTGAATATTATTCAGTTATTTAAAATGTTATTACGTTTTTTGTAATACGTTATTGAAATCATATTAATATGTTTTATATCATAATAGTTTGGATTTTCTGGAACGGACGCTGCATCAAATTTGAAATTAATCGATGCCGGGATATCTAAAGACGACATTATGATAACAGTAACCGGCATGTATGCTGTAAAATTTATCATGCCGATTTTCGTATCCAAATACATTTCTGGTCCTAAACCGATGGATTTTTATCTGACAATGACACCAATCAGGTAGATAAAATATAACCTTATAAATTGTACTATAATTAGTTTATGTTGTTAATCGGTTAAATCTTAAATAGCAAAGTTATTAGATTTATTTATTTGTTAATTTTAGTCGTTACTATAGGTATTATTAATTTTCAATTAGTGTGAGTAAGCTCAAAATGCTATACAGAGTGACACACCCTAAACATACTCGCCCTATTATTTTCATTGAATAATGAGTTTATTAAAATTCTCATTTTTGGTATTTTCACGTATACTTAAGGTCTATATTTTTAAATACTTTAATTTTTACACCATGTAAGAGAGTGGTCCTATGGAGATACAAATTCTTTTTTAAAGTTAAGAAATATTGATGTATCTAAATCAAAATTCGGACAAGTATAGTAGTTTTTGAGTTATTAAAATGTATGTAGGTAACCTAACCTATTTATTATATTCAGAAAATTTTCATAAAATATAAGATGTTGACATATTAACCTTAATTATTGATTATTTTCAAATCATTATATCTAAATACCTTCCGAACATATGAACTTATTATACTTAGTATGCATAGTTAAAAACCTCAAATCAACTCGTTAGAATTTCGATTTGGATACATCAACATTTTCAAGAAAATACATAAATAATAACAACATAAATAAGGTCAATAAATATTAAATATACCTAAAAATTAAAAAAAAGAATTTCAATAAATTCATTATTAAATTAAAATGGGGAAGGGGGGCGAACATGCTATGAGTGAATCACTGTTTATAACATACCTAATTTATTTATATTGTGAATAATATTTTTTAGGCATTTATTGCGGCTTATACTCATCGTTCAAAACTTAATAGAATACTATATTATATCGTTTTAAAAATTAATCTCACAGGTGTGGGTGTAACTATAGTTGAGGAGAAGACGATCATAAAAGTCTCATAAAATGTATTTTAGGCCAACATTTTTAGCACTTCCCTCTAAATTTAAAATGTAGTTGTTCTTATATGCTATCAATGATCACAGATACCTACTTACTTGCCTTCTGGTGGAAGACATGCCTCTTGAGCTGCATTACTTTATAGGGTATTGTAACGTATAATGATCATAAACTAGTATTTTAAAAACCTTTTTTGATTATTCACATTACAAGTTATATAAACATAAATGATTACAGTAGGCAGTAAAATTTAAATGTTTGAATTAATTACGTTTCAGATTGATTTGGAGTATTACGTACATGGTATTGATTTACTATACACCGAGCTTAATAAATAATAATGGAGATATAAAAGTACCGATTTATTATTATTTCTCATTAGCATCAATTTTTGCAGTGAATGAGGTAAGTTAGCACCTACTTATATTTTGGCATATATTTCATAATAATTGAGTGCGCACATTATTTAGGCTGAACTGCTAAAATAAAGCCATGGTGAGATGTTGCGTTGATAAAAGAGAGAAAATATAATGTTGTTTATTTTAAATATACATTAAACGTTTTCGTATTAATTAAACCTGAACATTGACTATAAATTGAACTACGGTGGTCTAATAGTAGTACCTACCTACTATAATAAAGTCCAAAAAGAAAAATTCTTGTTGGAGAACTTTGATAACTCTATGTAAATATCAATAATTATTTCGAAAATAACAAATTAATAAACCACAGAATAGGACACATCAAATTAAAAAGTTATCATTTATGTTAATTGAAAAATAAAAATAATGATTATTGTTATTATTTCTGTTTTCAGATGCTGAGTTCTTTCATGTTATTAGCGTTATACGCTTTCTTCTGTCGATCAAGCGATCCACGTTTTGGAGGCACGTACATGGCGTTATATAATACATTTTACTTTCTGGGATGGTTAATACCCAATACTTTGGTTCTAAAAATGATCGCCCTTCTAACTTTTAGTACATGCTCAAACGACATCCGAAACAGCTGTCTTACGCCAGATTTAAAAAGTGTAAGATATAATTATTGGTACAATATGATGAATATTTGAATGTTTTGCTTAATTGATATTACTAATTTTGTATTCGTTATCAATCTATACTTTTTATTTTTAACCGATAAATGATAACACCTAAGATAATATTTTTGTGATTCAGAATTGTTATATGATTACAATATATATTATGACACATGTTAATTGTAATGTATACAGGTATGTGCTGTAAATGGCGGAAGTTGTCAAGTTTTCGTGGACGGCTACTATATGACAGTTATCATTTGTATGGTCATTGGATTCGTCTGGTACTTTTTATATAGAAATAAACTTAGAAATTACAAACCAATGAGCACCTCAGAATGGTCAATAAATGTGTCATAAATCATTTGACAGAAAAAGTGAATTAAGTGCATTCTAAAAAATCTAAACTGCAACTAGGAGTCAACCGTACCTATTATCGGTGATATTTAAAAATTGATTCATTGAACTTGTTTTATTGAAAATGTATAGTACAAATTATGTTACAAATTATCAAAAAAATGTAAGAACAAAACAAAAAAAAATTTCAAATGTTTTTTAATTATAATATATGATCATATTAAACATAGTTGTAACTTGTAAGTTATAACCTATCCAGTTCACACTCCTTGACGTTACACATCTAAACAGATCAGAGGTTTTACTACTTAAGTTTGGACGTCAGTGTCAGTTAGAATTTCCATAATATTAATTTTATGTGTTGAAACTTGAAAACAACATGTCACCTTCAAAAATAAATTGTTAGTAGTATTTCGCTGAAATTATACAGACGCCTGTAATTTTTAAGCCGTAACGGATTCCAAGAACTGGACGGGTTATAGTATTAAAATATATACTTTGTCATATTTATTGTTTTATAATATTTAGTGTATTTTACTTATATAATAAAATAAATTATTTTTTGATTGTTTTCTAAAATATAAATATTGTTGAATACATATTACGTATTATATATTTTATAATACCTATATAGTATTATGTACCTATAATATATATTATATATTATACATAATACATAATACAATTCTTGTATTATAATATACTGTTGTAAATTTTGAGTTATAAATCTAAAAATTAAATGATATACTAGTTACGATACAAGTATAAGATTTTTAATTTTTTCTGTGCGTTTAATACATTATTCTAGCTTTCTTATAGCTGAAATATAATCAGATAGATATTGTATTAGGTAATCAAACAGACACCAATGTAGTGACGTAACTATGGTAACTGTTCACATACCTACCGGTGATATTTCCCGAAAATTCAGTGTAAAAACCAGAAGAAGAAGTCACTAACTCGTTTTCAAAAATTTAAATATTTTTTTCTTTTTAGTCTATCGTTAAATCATTATGATATAATGTAGTTCGTTGCTAGATAATGCCATTTTGATAGTGCGCCAATATATTAAAATTTAATGTTGTGATTTTTATATCTCATGAATAGTATGTTATTAACAAGTACACCTGTCCAATGAACTAATAGTTAACCAATTAAGTTTAGGTTGGTTTTAGTGTAAGGCTTATAAAATATTTTTATGTTGCTTATTTGTTTGGTGATTAGCTTATACTTTGGTTACTGATGAGTTAATAGAAACAAGAAACTGTATTTTGGGTGCATAAAAAGTACTCTTATGTGGAACAAAAATATCTAATGGCTCAATGGGGAACACATATTATACATTTTTTTTGATTATAGATGCTGAGCTTCTTTGTGATGTTAACAATGTTTTCATTATTTGATCACGTTAGCGACTCTCGTTTTGATGGCACATATATGCACATATAATATGGTTATACACTTATACCAAATACTTTGGTACTGAAACAGGTGACATTACTACCTTTAGTAAATTTTCGAATGATACCTACACAGAACCCATATGTTCTACTTCAAAATTGACAAGTATAAGTTGACGATCTTACTGATGTTTAAAAATAGGTACCTAATAGATTTTTGTTCTGCTTATAACTAAAATAATCTTTATTTATATTTAAATACTCTTTTTAATATATGAAATATGAATGGAGAAAGTTGTAGCGTATTTGAGGACAGATACTACATTACAACAGTCATAAGTCAGTCATCGGATAAGTTTTGTACGGTATTTTCAATAATACCTTGGGATATCATCACTTATCAGACCTTTCTTATAAGATGGTGTATGTTAAACCATTGAATACCGAAAAAGTTCATGAACCGTGTGGGTGTATTATATCTTCATTATCAATATATTTATTGCATTAAGTTTATTATAATGAAAATGTAAAACTGTAAGTAGGTAATTGAATACATTATTGAATAATTGAGTACACGTGATACAGTAAAGGTACTATACCTATATAATAATATAATAAGAGGCATTTTATACTATTTTATTATTATAAATTGAATTACAGATCTATGAACATATTAAAAATATATTTAATAAAATATTATGATCTATAATTAAATGTAAATTATATTATGTAACATGTTTTTTCAATAATCCTTTGATATGTAATTTGACATTTTCATATTACCAGCCACCAGGTACTCATTTACTTATTTTGCCAAATGGCATTATGTACTGTATGGTCAACCTAGACAACCTAGTCGTGCGATATCCGATAAGTAATACTACCTAGGTGAATACTAAATTATATCTAAAATAACACAAACAAATGTTCAAATATAATTCAATTTGAATGTATAAAAAAACGGGACATAGTGTTACGTGTATTTTCAAAATATCAAATACAATATTATAGCTTTGGGCATTATAACAATTCTTCTTGATGGGGACGAGGTGGCCGAGCGGTCTAACGCGTCGGCTGCCGGTCGCGGTTTCGATTCTCGAGCACCGGGTGGCATTTTTCTCGGAGCAAGTCACGGTGTCTGGAGAACAAGTGCCGCCATCCCCCACTCCGGGGCATGGCAGAAACCTACGGGTGCCCCCATTCGAAATTCTGCCAAAACACCACCTGTAACACACCTACCGTTCCAAAACCTACAGTACCACCCCCTTCCTAATGGCCTAAGTTGCCACGAGATAATTAATAAAAAAAAAATCTTCTTAATAGGCACTCAATTTACAATTAAGGTTTTTAATATTTAATATTTATAACTATTCAAATTACCCATACATTTTTATTATTAGTATCTTACGTTTAAAATGTTAATTAAACACTATACCTAATTTATGATCTGAGTTACTTTGAGAATAGTTTAAAGAATAAAGACCAATAATTATACCATATAATAATTTATAGGTTTTTTTAAATATGTTTATAATAATAATGCAATACGCTTTGCATCGATTAACGAGCTTAGACACTGGTCGGTTGTAGGTATCTAGTCCGGTTTTTTTTCATATAATTTATTATGGCATGGTTACTGTGAGATTTTTATTTATCGAAATGGAATAACAACGTGCTGGACTAGTCAGTGTCCATTAATAAAAAAATAATCTAATGTGTTTGAGTTATATTTTCTCTCTCGTTTCAACTTGAAATTGTTCCGCCGGAAATTTCCTGGAATAATTAAAAATGCATTTTTTTTATTGAATATCACGTACCAAAAATAGAACTTTAATGGTTTATTTGGTTTATAAATGTCCATTTATAATAAGATTATGTATTTCGTAGCCCATTCGGTAAATTACTCTTTTCACAAAAACTCTAGGCTCTTTAGAAAGGGGTAGATGGTTCCAAATTATTATTTTTTCCCGCAAACAGCTTGTAATTTCCAAAGCTTTTGCATAAAAACTAACGACAGTTAGGCCCTATATAAACACTATTTTTAAATTATGTAAAATTATAAATGCACATTGTAAAATACGATATTTATAAATATTTATTTTATTATGTATTATTATTATTCTACTATTAATTCTTCTATATTATATAGATAAGTATTTCACATTATTAAAAAATTGATGTCATAAGAAAACAACTATAATAGATATGGCCATATCAAAAACCATTTACTAATTTATTCTTATTTATTACGATTTGTGACAGATTGCATATAATTCCCGCAAAATTATGATTATTCTCAGTAAGTCTATATGAATAGATAAATATTAAAATACAAAATATGTATACTTACTTATTAGTAAAATATTTAAGAAAATGGATTTACTTCAAAACATGCAAAAATGTGTAATAATGAATACGTTTTATTTTAATTAGGGCGTTATGAAACGTGCTATTTTTTTTTGCCAGAATTATGAAATTTTGCATTCAATAAAAATATGTATTTAGTATTTACATAAAAATCTGTGTCGAGTTATCAATATAATATACCTTCCTTGAATTGTCAAAATTGGTCGAGTATTTTTCGAGTCTATAAGTCTAAGCAATACACTTTGTTTTTTATATATAACAGCTGTTATAAACGTATACCCATCACTTCTGTTATAATACTCCATCGACCCATCCGGGATCATAAATTATATATGACCAAAATTTGGTGCAAATTGGTCAAGAACTGTGAATTTGAATATGCGTCATTTAGATATAGGTTATAATAGTCGACATACCTATCTTTTATAGTGGATCTATCTACCGTTTCCGTTTTGCTTCAGTTGATAAATTACAGCCGTACAAATCTTTCAAACTGTTAAAAATAATTTAAACTAATGGTATCCTTAACCAGGGGTCAGCAAAGTTGTTGATGTCAAGTGCCAAAAATAAGTATACATTTTTCCCGGATGTAACACGATTGCGCCGATTTTATTTCCATTCAAAAAACGCAATACGATTGCGCTCGACCAATTAGCAATATTGCGCCCGTCTTTAACCTTTTTTACCTGCATAAAAAGCAACACGATTGCGCTCTTAATAATTTTCCTTCCCAATTTTACAGGCTTAGGACTGACAACAAAATTAAATTGTTGGCTTGGTTAAAAATTTTGAGTTACAATTTTTTTTTTTTTTTTTTTAATAATAATACTCTAATAAGCTCTAGCATAGATATTTCTTTTTAATTCAAAATGTCTAATTAAATATTTTTTTAATCATAATAATAATAAGAATAAAAATAATACAAATGTATAAATTACAATTTTGTGGCACAAAATTTTGGTCCCATTACTTTCAAATATTCTAGCAGAGATATTTCATTTTTTTCTAATTTTGTCCATGTTTCCGTTATAAATGTCAATTTATCAATTTGTTCTTTCGTGGTTTGTTTTATTATTCGTTTTAATACTACTAATTTTTAAGTATGTTTCACTTTTTCTAATAATATATTAATAACTTCATGAATTGAAGGATGTGATGTGTAAAACTGCGAATTATAATGTCGGTGGAATGATTCTGGTCCATTGGTTGTTCGAGCTTCTTCTGAAGGTTTACCAG